GTTAGACCGATTATTTCAAATGCTTCATATAGGCATAATGTATTCAAAATGATCCTTACCATTAGTATGTGTAAACTTGTGCAGAATTACATCGACGTAATTTTCGATAAAGTTAGTCTTTGTAAGCACGGAGAGATTTGGATGAGTTGAATAGGGTAGAGTTGTATACAATTATTAACGTATTCTAATGCTCGTTTTTGAGTGAAGGTGGATATTGAATGGATAATGAAATCCTTTAATATGTGAACCAATATGCAAGAGGTATATGATTTTGTTAAGAAGCGCAGTGGGAGCAACTAGTAAATGCCAAATTGAGGAAAGTTTGTTATTTTCAAGTGCAATTAGTACGTGAAATGAAAATATTCCTCGAATAAATACGGTTGACAAGTGCTCCAAAGCATAGTTATTTTTTGATTTGACCTAGTTTTAATCCGCTCATAGATTTAATGCCACCATAATTGTGAACCGACTAAGTATGATTCGTATTATCTTGTTAATTATATTAGATTAGATGTGACAATGCTTTCCACCACACATTGTAGGAACATGTAGTCAAAGATATTCATGAATCAAAATCTTTCATTGTGGGTCCCCTCACCTCAAGCTAGTGTCTAAACCTACTGGTCCAAAGCGATTAATTAAGTAGTCTAGTATAATTACAATCCTCGACCTTTAATTATATGAACCCCAATGACCAATAAAATAAATAAATAAATAAATGTGTTCAAAGTTTTAAAACTTGCGAGGAAAGTGCAATTAAGTATTAAAATTTGTCACTAAAGCGCAATTAAATCTTAAAACTTTCAAAAAGTGTAATCAAGTACTAAAATTTATCAAATTGATCAGTCAAGTCCATCCGTTGATTGCATTTCCGTGATAAGTTTTATGACTTGATTGCATTTTTTGAAATTTTTAGAATTCAATTGCACTTTCGTGATAAATCCTAGGACTTTCTGTATACTTATCCAAAAGAAAAAAATAAAACGTGAAACCCCACGAACCATCTTGCCAAGGAAAATTGGGAAGTGTGGACACTTTGGCGACACTCTCAAAGCATCCCAATAGATTGGGAAACGGCAGTTTGGTGCACTGATCTTCCGGTCGAAGGCTTTTCGGCTAGATGCAATGATCGCCTGGTGGCTTTGGAGTACGTGATTGCTATGGAGGTCGCGATATGTACAATAGACGCGATGATCGCCCCGGAGGAGATTGTCGTGGAGATTTACTGAAACATCACAACTATTGCCAACCGCTGAGGCAATTATATGAGTCTCGTCGTGCTGTTGCTAGTTTTTTTTTTATATTTTTTTATAAGAATTTCATTGTTGAATATTTAATGTATTGGTTGGCACATGTGATGGATTTTTTTCATTATTCAAATATCTCTAAAGTAAAAGAAAAGTTAAACTAGCTAGTGACAACACGAGTTGAAGGCAAGGAATGTGGTTGTGGTGGGAGAGAACACAAGAAGAGTGAAGGAGAGAGACGGCAAAACGTCGGTGACGACCTGGTTGAAGATGCGAAAGATGTTTAAAACAATGCAATTCCTTATGACCAGACGTGCATCAATAACAACCGTCCTGCGATTGATGCTTCTGAAATTCCCAATCTCAATGGTGATTTGCAAGCCCACGACGACTTGTGCAGCTTATCCAACTTGCAGTATCCTGTTTGTTTCTTTAGTAAGCTTTTATGGAACCGCTGCCAAGTGTTTTAAAAGCTTAAACTTTTAAATTAAGACGTTGTTTATTATTTACATTGTAACACTCCCCCTCTTGCATAGACCGGACTTTGGCCTAAGTCTAAATCTCGGGAATATGCAATTGGGGAGGTAAATAGGGACGGGCCTGGAAAGACTTGAACTCAGGACGTCTTCTGATACTATGTGATATTTTGTGGGGCCACTCCCAAGTATTCTAAAACTTTAGTTATTATATGAAGGCATGAATAATAATTTAAATATTCGAACATCTTTTTCCCCTTTTACTATAGAAGTTATGCTAGGATTGTTAGAAAGTTCAACCAAAAAATTTAAACTATTAGGGGGAGAAAGACTACGTGAATGACGTGGGACAGTATTTCAATGCCTCACTCACATGCAAATCAGATTAATAGCGGCACTTGGAATTTGACTGATGGGTATGGACGTGCACACGCGAAAGGGAGCACTGGCTATGATACTTTATTAGAAAATCAGAAAAATTGTTCAAAACAATACTAAAGCTATTGTACGGCGGCTAATTCAGTCTAAAACCTTTCAAATGTGTCAATTTAGTCTTAAATCTTTTGACAATTTGCTAATTTAGTCATAAACTTTTCAATTGTGTCAATTTAGACCTAAATTTTTTGATGATTTGCCAATATAGTCTTTTTGGCCAATTTTGGCTAGAAATAACTAGTGTGGACACTAGCCATCCTACGTGGCACGACCGACATTGACGTTGATACTTTTTGCAATTTTTTTAATTTTCATTAAATTTGCATTAATATTTATGATTTTTTTTTCTTTTTTTCCTTTTCCTTTTCTTTCTTTTCTTTTTTTACTTTCTTTTCCTTTTTCTGTCGCTGGCCACAGGTGAGGGCCGTGCTCGCTAACAGAAAGTAAGGGTCACCCTTGCCCAAAATTGGCAAGGGCAACGCGGCCCTCACCCGCCGGCTATAGGCAAAAATGAAAAGAAGGGGAAAAAAAAAAGAAAGAAGAGAAAAGAAAAGAAAAGAAAAGAATAAAAAAATTATCCATATTAGCGCCGGTCGTGTCATGTAGGATGACTAGCGTCCATGTTAGTTATTTCCGACCAAAATTGACCGAAAAGACTGAATTAGCTGTCGTACAATTTAGGATTTTTTGAACAATTATCTTGTATTTCATGTTATTTTTATTTTTAATAACTACTCAACATCCCTAGACACTAATTGTTGTTTGAGAAGCGCTCATTGGGTCTGTTTTGCAACAACGCCAGCCGCATCAGCTGTGTTGCTTTACTTTCTCCACCAAGTCCACAACTTCAGTTGCTTTTGAGACTTTCTGTCTGCTCCTTGCGGAAAATAGACACCACATCAACCTTGCCACCCTTAAACGAGCTAGATTCCGAAATGTTGTTGAGCTGGTTTTCTCTTCAGCACATCAAACTACTTTTTTAAGATCTTAGTTATCCAAACTCAAGTTGACTTCTTCATTCATCTTGAGTTTAAGGGAAAATATTAGAAATAGTTAGGATTTTATCTAGAATATTATCCCAATGTTAGAGAAAATTATGATATTTCTCTTGATTTTTTGTATCTCTCAAGATTGCGCGTATATCTCTTTTTGATTGTGCATTCAATCACCTTATATAGTCATATAATAAAGCTTATAAAGCCTGCTTGTGTACTCTCCATCAAATATACATCAAAATACGCATAAATTCCACAATTTTCAATTCAGCATATTTCTTAACAAAGATAATAGGTGATTTGTTTCAATTTTGAGTAGTGTCCACTTTTTGTTTTTGGTCGTAAGTGAATATTTCATTCATATCTCAAGACGATACATGATAAGTTGAAAATAAAGCAATCTCAATTAGCAAAGTAGAACAACAAAGCATAAATTGCTACGATAAGCATACTCTCATTCATAAGAACATATATGTCTCTGTGTCAAAACAGAACAAGCAGCAGCCGATCATCAAATCTTGTATCATCATCAATGAGGCACACACCGTAATCTCGTTCTCCAATAGCTTGCCCAATGGGCAGTGTATGTCGTTCAGCGTCCTTAACACCATCATAGTATAGAGAAACCAAAAGCAGGTTGAATAGGCTCCCAAATCTCGATCTAGATCGGGAGAGTATAAACGAGCACATAAATACCTCTAAGGAACTCCCGAATCTAAATCTAGATCGGGAGAGAAGAGCTCCCAAATCCAGATCTAGAGGGAGACGAGGGCTTCCAAAGTTCAGAGAAGTCGTATAAATGCTTCCAATGCAACATGAACTCATCGTATTCCTTTGCGATCTTGTCATACTTCTTGGTTTGGAGGATTTGAAGCAACAAGTTGATTCCTAAAAATGCAAGCAGAAAATACACCTAGCGAGCAAAGAAGAGTATAAGCAGCAAGCAAAAAAAAAAAAAAACAAGATGAAAACAACAAAATACTCCTAGATAAGATCAGGAGAGAAAATTTCAACTCGAGTTGATAAGATGAAGCCTCCCTCGACTAAGTGTTATTTCTTAGTCGAGGGATCTTGGAGTGGAAGTAAAAAGCGGACCTAGAGAGAGGTGGATGAGGAGAGAAAGCTAAGGTTTCAATTTGAGTAGCGTCCACTTTAAACTTAAAATTTTATTAGGTTTTTCATACATGAATATAGGTTATGCTCTCTTGTAATTCAGCTTATCATTCGAATTAATAAAAATTGGAGAGGTATTCTAAGTGCGCTTTGTCCGTGTACTTTCATCGTTCGTGAGTTGCGATCGTGCCTACTCGTTTCCACGGCATCATTGGGACAATACGGTTTGTTTAACAACGTAGAACTTTTATGCGTTACACATCATTAAAAAATAAGTCGTGTGTCCATTGCCTGATACATTTGGTTGCAATTGGTCATAACCGAGGAGCTTGCATTTCTACCTTACATCACAATCCAAAAGCATGGCTAAAATGTCAAAATGCGCTATCATTAATTCAGCGACCGCGTTCGTCTCACTAATCAGGGAATCTTTTCATCTCAAGGTCGCTCGTATAAAATTGCTTTTTCCAACAAAAGCCATTGACAAAAGGAAAGGAAAAGGAAAAGCAGGGTTTGTGCTCACAGTATTGGGGAGGCTTGTGCTGTTGTGCGTTCCAAGTGTTGGTGTGTGGGGGGGGAGGAGCAGAAACGCAAGAAGAGGCCAAGAGAGGGAAGCACTTCTTGTTCTTAAACAAAATGAAATTTCCTTCCGGAAAGGAAAAGAGAGAGAAAGAGAGAGAGCGAGCGAGTGATGTGTAAAGGTGGATGGAGAGGGGGAGAGAGAGAGAGATGAATATTTATTCTCGTGTTTGTGGCAGTCTGTTGGAGAATCAAGGGGTGTGGTATATAAGACACGAACCTTGTGAAGAAGAATGGCAGATTTGTTCCCCGAGTCCAGCAAACAAGGAAGCAACAGTCTTGCAGCAACCAGAAGCTAGTTCAAACTAGTGGAAGGTTGTGTGCACTCCCTGTACTTTGTAAAGCCACCCCCAAGAAAGCAAAAAACCACAAGAATTAAAGCCTTTGTCGACGAGAGGAGTTCGTCGATATCTGAATCGAAGAAGAGCTGTTTAAAGTAGTATCTTCTTTTTCGGTGAACATGGCTCGCGGAAAAGTTCAGATGAAGCGGATCGAGAACCCGGTGCACCGGCAGGTCACCTTCTGCAAGCGCCGCGCGGGACTCCTCAAGAAGGCCAAGGAGCTCTCCGTTCTCTGTGATGCCGACATCGGCCTCTTCATTTTCTCCCCCCACGGCAAGCTTTATGAGCTTGCCACCAAAGGGTACCTCTCTCTCTCTCTCTCTCTCTCTACCGATCGAAATCATTTGATTTTCCCATTTGTATTTGTAAAGATTTTGAGATGTATTGACATCAAATACTCGCAACAGATATATCCGCACGAACACTTACCTCTATGCATAAGCGAGTCTTATACGTGAATGCTAAGAAGCTAACCGTGCGTCGAAACCACAACCGAGGGACGTCGTGTCATAGTAGCGCTCGAAATGACCGTCAAACATTTAACCTGTGCTTTCATACCGTGTTATAGGACTACATATGTCGAAAGTTTTAAGTTTGTCGATGCTTGGTGTATCACAAAGCGGATACTTCCTTTAGCTCGCTCAACTTATTTGGGTTTTGTTGCAGAACCATGAAAGGGATGATCGAGAGGTACATGAAGACCACCCAAGGCCAAGCTGCTCAGACTGAGGAAGCCACACCGAGCCAACCATTGGTACGAATGCTTTGCTCGCACCCTCTTTTTTTTATTATTATCTGAAAAGCTCAACATCTGTCAGGATAAGCTGCCGTATTAATCTATGGAATGATGTGGTAGAGTTCATAAAAAGTATGAGAAGGTGAGGGTCCAATTGTTTAAACACCCAATCCCGATCTGCCACGTGACTTTAATAAGTCGATTTAGTAGACCCTTCTTAATATGCTTGGCATCATTTCTTATTTCCTCCCATTTTCCAATTCCTCCAACACACCCGAGCATAAAGCTCCATTTCTTTCACAAGACAATACGTCAACACGTGTTCGACTTCACTCGAAGTACATAAACTATACGAATGGTTTTATACATATAATGCTTCTCTATAGACTCCCAAGAAATCGGACGAATCAATTTTAACGTCATTAATCTCCCCCTTGTCGCCCCACGCGACGTGATTACAGAGAGTGTGTGTGTGGGGGGGAAGAACAACCCGAAGAAGAACCCACCATATTATCTTTTAGATACGGGGTGCAGCAAGAATATTGCCTAATGCTCCACTCAAAAATTTCAAAATCTAGCGAAGAGAGATGCCTCTTCATATTTATCTGGCGGCGAATAGAATATCACTATTGACATATTGCATGCCAAGGAAGGGCATCAAAAATCATTCATATAGAATAGTTCTAAATATTCAGCGAATCATCAGCTGCATAGAAAACTGGAAATTAGGGTGTTCAATCAAAAACCCACATTTCCAAACAATGTCTCCACAAATTCTGCCCCATGGAGTGTTCCCAGCATCATGAGTACAAATAGAAATGTGTCCCCTCATTTGTTTCGTTGAATGATATCTCTTTGATTTGATGGCTGTCCAATTTGACATGCTAATAGCTGCTCATTGCCTTATGCTTCCTGTATTGAATTTCAGGATGCTAAAGAAGAGATTAACATATTGAAGCAAGAGATTGAAGTGCTTCGAAAGGGTCCCGGGTAATTGCATCATCATTGCTTTCTACGATTACTTTCTCCCTTGTGCAGTTCCAAACACTAGGATTAGAGCGTGGGCTGAGAGTTGCTGTTACTGATGTCTGCTAGTACTTAGAATAATAGTAATCATTCATCTAACTCTTTTCTCTCTCTATCATTGTAATCTTTACAGCTTCAAGAAATCTCAATCCTAGTGAGAGAACTTGACTATTTCCCAAGAATGAAAACTAGCTCGTATCACTAGTGTGTTGATTGTATGTGAGCGATAGCTTTTACTTCGTTATACAGGCAGAATTAAGGATGAATTAACATGAAGTATAGGTTCGAATATGCTCTTAAGTCTGATATAATCCGCTGTCACTTTCAAAGGAGTCTATTTCTTGTGGGTGAAAATATTGTACAGACTTAGTTTATGGGTATTGTGGTAGACAGAACCAAACACATTGCAGAAACTTTATAACTGTATGGAAACTTGTAGTACTTTGTCGGACTGTGCGATCCACGGAATTTTAAAATGCAATTTATTTAGTCTAGTAGACTTCTATTGCAATACTTGCTCATTACTTTTGAGCAAATATAATTGTTTTGGTTATCTCTCTTCCTTACTATGGAACATATTAATTGAAGCAAGGATGTGTAAATGTTTTTTCAACCAGAACTTTGAGAGTGTCGTGATCACATGAAATTTACATCTCTATGATTCCTATTCATAAGAAAGAAAGATAAATAAGTCTTTCCATCGAATACTATAATTCACTGGTGCTAGAAACTCAACTTTTTCAACACACTGGATTTTTCTAGCATCGTATGACATGTGTATTAACTTATAAACGAAAGGAACACATGGGTTGTGCAATCAAACTTATGTGGGAGTGTGCATCTATACCTAACTAATCAAATGAATTCGATATGGTGAGAAAATAGAGCTCATCCGACATACTAAATTGCTAAATGTGTGTTCACATAGGTACATGTTTGGAGGAGGAGCTGGTAATATGACGCTGGACGAGTTAGATGTTCTTGAGAAACAACTCGAGATTTGGATTTACCACACTCGCTCAACAAAGGTACATTATAGTCTTCCCTTGATCTCATATTAACCCGGATGGATATGAAGTTCGATGTTTTCATTGCTTTTTTCATAATAGATTCAATGTTTTCATTGTTTTTTCACACTCGTAAAAAAAAAATCAACGCAGATGGATATCATGTTTCAAGAGATCCAGCTGTTGAGGAACAAGGTTAGCTTTCTAAATCTCCGCAGAATAATTTTTGTTGAGGAAATTATGACTCGATTAATTAATTGTGAAAATGGTTTCCATTATTTTCGACGAAAATTAAAATCAGTCCCGTATTTGGTTTTTGAAGGAAGGGATACTGAAAGCTGCAAATCAGTATCTTCAGGAAAAGGTATCAAAAAGTTAAAAAAAAAATATCTTGCAAGACCTATTAAATCTTGGGTATTTCATGAACTTTTCGACCCACTAATTATAGTTATTTATTTATTTATTTATTTTGCAGGTAGAGGAGAACACTGCGATTACTAACATTGTGCCAATGACCACTAACTACACTTACCCACTAACTATACAGAATGAATTATTTCAAGATCTCCTATTGGTCTAGCCCCTCCTCTAGTGGAGTGGCACCGGTGTTTTTAGCATTAAAAGTAAGTGTTTGACCGTGCTTGCCCCAAGCGTTTTTGAGCAAATAAGTATGTTCAAGTGCTGTGTAAGTCCTTGAATTTGGGCTACTCTTTTGTTGGGTTCTGGTCACCTGGCTTGTATGGGACAAATTTGTGTTGTACTATTGGTAATGGGTTTGTGCTCTTGGTACTCTTGAATCTTTCACTAAATCATCAGTTCTCTGCATCACTGCGTGAGGGGATTAGATGCATCGGAATTACGAGACCGGACATGCAATCTGCTTTGAGTAAGGTATTCGTACCATCGAAGAATAAAAACAACCCCGTCTTGGTCAGGTTTGGTAAGGTTGAGAGCGTGGCTGCCTTTTGAAGTGCTAGTTGAATCGATGATACTTTCATGTTGCTGTTACGATGATATTTTCGATCTCCCATCGACCCATTCTTAAATGGGTGTCGAATTTTGGTTTCGGACCAACCATATGTTATACCCGTTCATATGTATAAATAGGGTGTTTATAAATGCGACAGCTTGACGGTCCTATTTATGCAGAAGTCCAACCACAGATTACTCCCGATTGAATTCGAAATACTTCCCCAACGCTTGCAATTACTTCAAGGTCGAAGCAGTTAGTCTTGTCCTCGGGAGTACAAAATTTTCACTTGGAAAGTTGATTGCATCGAAGACTGTCAAATTCAATTAAGTTTGGTTGACTTTTTAAGGGATCTGAAGACAATGTTCTTGACATTTTCGTCTCGAATTAAGATCGAGACAAAAAAGAAAGAAAGAAGAATTTAGTGTCGTCACGAAATCAGCTTGACATAGAGATCAAGACGAAATGATCAGCTAATATGTAAGATTAATTGCTTTTTTAGACACTTCGCCAAGAGATTCTTTTCTAATTTTGTGAACTGAGTAAGACACAAATTGAAATTTAAATAAACTCACAAATCTTTTGTATGGATTTTATTTACAAATGCCTCCTCAAGACACTTGTTAAGTAACCAATTAAAAAAACTTTGCAGTTTTCAACTTGTGCCGTGTGTAATCAATGTTTTACAAATTAAAGTATTCAAAGGAAATGTTAAAGAGTATCCCTGAAGCAATTATCGAGCGTTGTTAAATACAACTCTGAATATCTTAAATTTTCTTACGAATAAGTATATAGCTTTCTTGAAATAATGTTTCCTTAATTTTCAAGACTTTTTGCAAAACGTTATTTATACTTTTGGTTAACTTAACCAGTGATGTAGGAGCAAACCTTAATGTTTTTACAAGACCATTGTTCTAAATTAAGTATACTTAATAAGTGTCCTGAGACTTGTTAACTTTAGTCTCTATTTATGTCTAGCGATGTGAAAGTTTAATTCATGTAGTGACTTTAATTATGGCCGTCAAATGAGTGAGTTGGGTTGAAAAATGATCCAACCTAAATTGATTCAGCTATATGCAAAACAAATTTAGTGACATGTACTCGACCTGACCCATACACAACCCAAACTTACTCGACCCACATTACTAAAACACATAGATATTTAAAAACATGAACTTTTACACTATGTGTGTAGTGTGTAAATGATAAAATTTTTGATAGTTTTATGAGATTCCAAATAAGATTTCAACTTGTTTGTGACTTTTTTTTATTGCAAATACTTCGAGTTCCACAATTAAAGTATCCGACATCTCTTAAAATCAAGAAGTCAATAAATATTGACACGTAAAATCATATATTAATATTCACGATTTTCTAAAGCTTGAAAAATCATAAATATTTCACTATTTTTCAATTTTTTTTAAAAGAACAGAAGTAGAAAAATAAAACTAAAAAAATAAGTTGCCAACCCGAAAACTATTAACCGAATCTGAAGACAAATGAAAAGGGACAATAGGTGGACTGGGCTTTAGACCTATTAAAAATCCACATTTTATTGGATTTTATTACTCAAACCCATATCAACCTATTTAGCAAAATTGAGCTAATCTATATATGACACAACCCATCATATATGTGTTAATAAATGGTTCTTCAACCCATTTTGACACCTTTACCTTTAATTCACGCACACAAGCACATTATTAATGCTTTTTTTTCTTTAAGAACTTGTGTCCTATATGTTTTTTTTTCTTTCTTTTTTCCCGCCTTGATTGTCTTTTCTTTTCTCTCCTGATCTGTTTTAGGAGTTTTTGTGTGTGAATAAATTTCTGCAATTGATCTTGGGTGAACTTAGAGGCCAATTCGACCATTCGTCTAGTCAAAGGCCATCAAGGAGGATGTTCGTGATATGGCTACACAACCTCTTCGAGATTAGGCCGCTCTCCTCTCCCGATTTAGATTTTGGACTAGATCTAGGTGATTTACTCTCTATAACTAAATCTAGATATAAATCTGGGAGTTCTTTACATGTATTTGATATGTTTTCTTTCAACATATTGATGTTGGTGCGTGCCTATACACGGTGATGGTGTTGAGAACGTTAAACCTAGACGCATACTGCAAATTGTTGAACCTAGACGCACACTGCAAGCCGTTACAAATGGAGTGGGAGATCTCGGTGTGTGCTCATTACTAAATCTGGTGATCAGCCTCCAAATGTTTACAGTAACAGATATGTTATTGAGGAATGAAAGTGTGCATCTAGCTGCAGACTGTGTTTTGTTATTTGCATTCTGGCATTTGCTTTGTTCAGCAATTATCTGGGATTTGCTAGTCTTGAAAATTTTAATGTACCTCTCGAATATTATTCTGAAAAATGAATGGAATATTTTTTTTTTAAAAAACTTATAAAAAATTCTAATATCATGAAATCACATATTAAATTCATGCAACAGTATTCTAAGTTGACTTCATGTCGCCAACTACTTGCAGTTTACGAGGTTGCCAATATCGAGGCATAGGCATATCTTTTGACTTATCTCGACAATGGTTTAAATGTTCGTGGACTCAAACAATAAAAAGCAGACGTGCCTTATCGATATAAAAAATCAAAAGCCGAGGATCCACATTCGATTATTTATAATGTAATTAATTTTGCAACAACTTCTATAATTACTTTTAATTCTATTTTTGGTCCCAACCTATGTGTTACTTAGCAGGCAAAGTCCTACCATAGAGGCATAGAGTATGTCCTAATTGCAATGATTAGTCTTCACGAATAAATTCTGTAAGCTGTGTACACGTCTCAGCTACAAAGCCTCGCCAATTCAAATTCATTGAAAAAAAAAAGAAGATGACACAATAATTAGTTTAATCTCCAAAAAGTTCTTCTCATGCACTTCGAGCACCTCATAAATGCTATTTAATCAATCTCAACTTGGGTAATCTTCATTTGGGATTTTACCGCAATTTTCGAACCAGCTGGTACTAAACTCAAGCTACTTTCGTGTTTATTCAGAATATTCGATATTTATTAATTAGAAACAATTAATGCGATTTATCAGCACGAGAGAAGGTATAGTTAATAATCGCGCAAGCACTTCAAGCACCTATTCACAGTTGATTGAGTCCTTATTAGTCCTTGCAAAAAGTGATTTTAGGATTATTGGCTGCGATTTCTCCCTTTTAATTTTGATATACACGATTAAGCTCATAGTAGAGTCAAGTCAACGTTTGAGCATATCAAGCTTGCATGGATCGTTTATCAGCTTGAATCTAGAAAATGATCATTAAATAGGTCGCTTAATCATTGTTTCGCGCAGAAAACGTATCCAAACGACAGAATTACAACGCCTAGAGCATTCACTAGACAGCTTGATAATTAAACTTGATTTCCAAATGCCATGCTTCCGGTACATAGGATGTGAAAATATCTTGCATGCACCGGGCTCACAATAATTGAGCGAGCACACGTTAGATTAAATTGACTCGTACCAAGATCCATCTAAACCAAAAGCTTACGCTTACGTTTGGACCCACATAACTCGAGTGCACGGATACGTTACTAGTTTCATTTACGATTTCAAAGCTCGGGTCGGAGTCGGAGCCGCCATTTTTACAGGATCTCGAAACTGGGTTTGATAACTCAGAGCTCAAAAGAGGGTATCAAATTTGAAGACTAGGAAGTAGAGTGATCAGATTCAGAGGTAACTAGTGCTAACAAGGCTGTAATACGTGCAAAACTACTCTCTTTACGACTGACGAAGGGTCATTTACACCGTCAATTAGATTGCTAGGAGACTTGAATCATATTGCAAGAACCAAAAACCACTCCATGCACGCATGGACATGGATAATCCCTATAACCCTTCATTATCTTCTTCTCTTCTCAGCTTTGAATTCTCAGAACCAGACATAGAGAGAGAGAGAGAGAGAGAGAGAGAGAGAGAGAGAGAGAGAGAGAGAGAGAGGGTGGCTAAAACAGTGGGGAGGTAATTACTGTGGAGGAGGGGGAACAGATGAACGCATTTATGTCTCTCTAACCACCGCCTTCACTCACCCTTTCGTTATTAACCCCTCCTTCCTCCTCCATCTCTACCACACTGCAACATCGTTCTCCCGTACTCACACAGACGCGCACAGAGACACCGCTCATTCAATAATGGCGTCCGCCACAAGATCCGCGTGGTCGTGGAGGGTAGTGTTCATCATGGTGGTGGTGGTCAGTTCAGCAGCCGGCCAGAGGGTGAGGAGGCCGGAGCTGGTGCCGGCGATGTTTGTATTCGGGGACTCCCTCATCGACAGCGGCAACAACAACAACCTCCCTTCCTTCGCCAAGGCCAACTATTTCCCCTACGGCATCGACTTCAACGGCGGCCCCACCGGCCGCTTCTCCAACGGCTACACCATGGTCGACGAAATAGGTCCCTCCCCCTCACTCTCCCCATCCAGAATCTATGTTCTTGCAAGTCTGCTGCACATCGTTTATACGACGTGACATGCTGATGTCCTATGTCGATGATGAATGCAAAATGATTGCTAGTTTAGTGCTTCCTCTTTCGTTAGAAGAGGACAGGATGTGGTCAACTTAGTGGGATCCCACCAAATCTATCGACTACGATGGATATAAGAATCTACAGATGCAAGATTAGAGTTACATGGTCCACTGTAGTTGGTGGAAGAAAAAGAAAAGCAATTATATTTTCAGGAAGGATGTTATTTAGCTAATATATAACATACAAATATTTGTGTGGAGGCACAGAATTAGGTGAGGAAGGGTCAATCTTCATTTTCAAGTGTCATGTATGTCTACTC